TGTCACAAGAAGCTCTGTCAGAGTACTGAGAATATATATCATGATCTCTTTCTCAACAATCTACAAGATTATCAAAGATCATTTGTCAAGACATGTTTGAATGAGTTTTTCTTCACTGGCCAGAAACTCATTATCAACATTGATATTGATGATTTGATGAAGCAACTGACTAATCATACATTCAAGAAGATCATCACTGAGCAGAAAAAGCAGTCTCAGGCCGATTCTGTGACTGTGAAAAAGGACAAGAACAAAGATAAGAACAAAGATGAGGACAAAAGCACACCTGTATGAAAGTGCACTCACTGCAGAAGATATGAACATACTGTTAACAGGTGTTTCATCTTACACTCTGATAAAAAGAAAAAGAAGGATGACAAGAAGAATGACAAGAAGAAAGAGAAGAAGAATGACTTGATAAGTTCTCAATCAGCAGCAAATGCAGCAATTATGAAGATTGAGTTCTATTTCTCTTTCACAGTCACTGGAAAACCATTCTCTAGATCTTGATATTTGAACATATATACAAGCCTGAATATGACAGATGAGCTTCATTCTTTCTCAAATATCAAATCTTTTAATGATAACATCTCTGTCAATTCTGTGACTGAGAGAACTGAGTTTATCAAGAAGATTGAAACTGTCATCTTAAAGATTGAGAGTAGTGATGTTAACTTGCAGAATGTTCACTATATTTCTAATATTACAGTTAACCTGCTCTCATTTGTGAAGCTTGAAGATCAGAGATTCTGATTTACATTGTCTTTCACTATTCTCTTATTTTTCATTTGCAGAGCTCTGAACAGTGTTATTTTTCATGCAGTTCAGATCACTCAGAACAACATATATAAGATTGATGAATGAGAGTTCAATGAGAATTCTAATCATCTGAACAAGGCAGTCAAGTATATTGCAATACTTCACAAGTACAATTTTGATTGAAAAGTTGATCTTTCTGTGACTGCTGTCACTACTGTTAATAACATTGATTCTACAGTTCTGAATACAGGTCTCAAGAATACAAGAATATCAAAGACTCTTTTGAACTGGCACTGTGACCTCAGTCACATTCACACTGATGCTATAATTGCTATGATCAAGAATCTCCATACTGAAGTCACAATTAAAGATTCTAAGACTAAGTTCTTTTATAAGAAATGTGTCAAGACAGATATGATGCAAGATTATTTAAAAACACTGATGTCTAGATCTATCTGACTCATTGAGAAGATTTATATTAATCTTGCAGATGACAGATGTACATTGAAAGACCTCTCTGATCATCTCTTAGAGTTTCACCAGAAAATCAAATATTAAATGCTTATCACCTGTGATGTGACTTGCTACTGTTGAGTGTATTTTTTAAAGTTCAAGAATAAGGCTGTTCAATACTTTGAGTTGTGACTCAGATTCATGAGTAATCTCAGATATACAGTCTCTACTTTTCTACAAATCAATATTAATGATATTTTTCAATTCACATGTATGCACATAGTTATGAATTCATATGATATCAAATGAGAATCAACAGTATTACATTCATCACACTAGAATGATGTTTCTGAATGTGAGATCTGCACTATTATAGAACAGGTTAGAGCTGCTCTTCTGAAAGATAATCTCTTTAAGAAGTTCTGAGCAGATGTTCTAGAGACAGTGATTGCAATAATTAATAATACTCTTACATCTACAGTTCTTTACAACTCAAAATTTTGACCCTCTACTGCAGAGACTTCTGTGATTCCAAGTTCACATAAGATTTCTTAATATACACTTATGAATACCTCACTGAATGTAAGATATTTTCACTGATTGAGTGCAGAGGTTTTTATTCACTTGCATGAATCTCAGCAGCCTGTGAATAAGCTCTCTTTACATGTCAATTCCTATTGTATCATTGAATTCAGTGGCATATTAATATATTGCCTATAGCATTCTGAATCTGACAAGATTATTGCCAGTAGTGATGTGAGGTTCTCAATCACTGAAAAACTGGTTGTTACATCTGTGAAACTCATTAATCATGTTGTTGAACCAGTTGTCACATCTGTGACACTTACTAATAATGCTGATGTACTGAAACCCGATATTCATCTGATTGATGATGAAGATGCTTCTGATATTGATGATTCGAATTCCACATGGTTGCAGCCCACGAAATCGCTGGCTACTTACACTTCAAGCCTTATTACAGGTAACCTTCTGAAGTTCTACAAGAATGCCATATCTTGATCAGAGAGAGTAGAAGATTATTGAAAGAAGTTCATACAATGTGAGATTACTGATCTGAAGAGACACAATACATGAAGTTTAATCTCTAGATCTGATATCTCAAGAAGTGAACTGATTACTCTAAGCTGTTGAGTGTTTCTTAAGAAAGATAGGCTCACAGATCTGAATACTGATTCTGATAGTATTCTTAAAAAATCACATTGAGTGATTTATAATAACTGACTTAAGAAGAATTCTAGAGAAGAGATCTACACTTCTGTTATCACTGATACTGCTAACTGTATTCTTTTTGCAATAGCAGTACTACACAGTTAAACACTTTATCAAGTGAATATAGTAATGACATATCTTTATAAGTATCTCATTAAGAAGATCTATATGAGATAATTCACTGAATTTGAGACAGATTTACTGAAAACACTTGTCTGCACAGTTGAGAGTAGTCTATACAGTCTGAACTCTGCAGTGAAGATCTGATATAATTACTTAACAGCTCTGTTGAGTGATCTCAGATTTACAGTCAGTGCTTATGATTCAGTACTCTGATATTATACATTCAGATATCATCTCTATATAACAATCTACATTGACAATCTCAACATCATATCTGAAGCTTCTGAGAATGCTGATTGACTAGTGAGTATACTCAGTGAGAAATTGAAAGTCAAGAATCTATATCAGTTAATCAAGTATTTAGGTATGAAGATTAATTATTCAGACAAGAGAATTGATTTAACACATTGTCAATATATTAAATATCTTGTTAAAGATTTCTATCTTGATAATGCAGCTGTCATCAGAATATTAATGAAGAATGAATTCTATATTAATGATTTCCCTATATCTGAGAAAGAGGCTGATTTCACAATTCAGTAATATTAACATGATGTGAGTTACTTGCAATATCTTGCAGTTAAAACATGTTCTGATATCACTCACACTGTCTTACTACTCACTCAATGAAACATTGATTCAACATCTCAATATTGAAAGGCTCTATTACATGTTATATATTATTTGAAAGAAATCATGAATCTGAGTATTTTCTACAGACATAATCTGTATGAGAGGTTCATTTCTACTGATCTTTTCATTATCTCTGATTTCCCTAATGATTTCTACCTACTCTTCGGCTACTCAGATTCCGATTGAGCCGGCCTCTTGAATGATGATAGAAAATCAATATTCAGCTATGTTTTTAAGCTCACAGACAGCTCAATTTCATAGCATTCAGTGAAGCAATCTTATATATCTCTCAGTTTCAATGAGATTAAATATGTGACTCTTAGTGAGGCAGTCTGCAAAGCAACATGAATCTGAAATCTTATAATTGAGCTTAACTTCATTACTACATCTCTGATACAGATTCTTGCTGATAATAAGAGTATCATAGATCTCACAAAGATGACAGTTATTACAGCTCAAAGTAAGCATATTGATACATATTTTCATTTTTCATGTTGACAGTTAAATCAGAGAGTTATTAATTTAGAATATATTTTCACTGCTCAGATGACAGCAGATGAACTTACTAAATCTCTAGATAATGTAATATTTGCATGATTCATAGTTTTACTAGATCTTACAGATGTAAAAGTTGAAAATGTTTAATTTTACATTTGTATTTGATTTTGACAGACTATCTTGATGATTTGAGTGTTTTTGTATGTGATTCTTATTATCTCAAGAGAGAGTGTTGACTCTTACAGTCATTGCAGTTAGTGATCTCACTAGATCACGTGACTCATTACTATATTATGTTTCTGTAGATAGATCTATCAATACAACCTTCAACTATTCTATATAAATGTGACCCGTGTCACTATCTGACCTCACTCAATACATCTTTTCTTGTAATTTGAAACTACTCAATTATTTACCATCAATTCTACAATCAATTCAAAATCAATTCAAAATTAATTTAAAATCAATTTAAAATCAATTTAATACTGAAATTATTCTTGAATTTAATAATAAAGTAAGTATTTATATAATTTTCACTGAATTGATTATTAATTGATTTTCAATCAATTGTTAATTACTTAAATATATAGATTGAATTTATTTTTATTACTATAATTAATTAATAATCAATTCAAAATCAATTTAAAATCAATTTAAAATCAATTATTAAATATTTTTATCTTAATATATTTTCAAATTCTGTAAAATATCTCTTTATATTTCATATGAATTTATCTATTTATTTAATTGATTATGAATCAGTTATACATGCTTTTTGATTGATTGATGAGCTGAATGGATGAATAAATGAGTGAATTGAAAGATTGAAAGTCAATTACCAACTGATTATTACTGTATTGTGCGAGGTCGGGGTCATGATTATGTAACGAGGTCAAGTGGCGCACTTAGCGAGGTCAAGTTTTCTGCTTCCTGGTTTCCTAGGACCGCGTTCCTAAGACCCGTGAAGAAAGGTTAATGTTTTATACTCCCAATCACCAACCAGCGACACGCCAATTCAGACGATTCTCTGCCTTTGCAAAGCTGTATCGAGCAGATTTATCTACTTCCAACTTATCAACCACCACACGAGGAAGAAAATCGAATGCGCAAGAGATTCTTCGAAGAATAGCAAGATTCAGTTCTTCTGTTTTGGTTTTATACTGCTTTTGTAACACACCTACAGAGCTAGCCAAGAAGAGTTACCTTGAAATCATTCCGAAACTTCAAGCTTGGTGGTCCAGTGTTGATCACCCGGAATGGTTGGCGGAGAATGCAAAGACGATCTGTGAAGATGAGGGAATCGAATACACTGAGCCTCCCATGAGCCAGGGCTCATGCAGCCCACCACAAGCCATGGACCATGGCCACGCAGGCCCAGTGCGTCTTCCAACGACGGTCGATCTACCAGAAACACCGAGGTGTAATCGAACATCCAGGACGACTGACTCCGCCAGCGGGGGTCCTTGCAATGAGGCGCAATTTGAGCTTTTGGGAACACCTGAAATCTCGAACAATCCGAACTTTAATCCAGCACCAGAACAGCGAGTATTCGAAAATGCTTCCTTGCAAACGGTTGTGAAAACCTTTAGTCAAGACATGGCATCCGCAATCAGAAGATTCATAGTTAGGGATGAATTAAAAGCTGCCGTGACGACGGTGTTCCCTATTTGGGCGGGAACAGTTGATTGTCTCATGAGCCTGGAAGTCAGCGAATGGAGCGTGGAATGGCTTATGATGGCGTTATTCGGCGCAAAATTAAAATGGGTGAATCAAGTTCGGCACCTTGTTTTAAACAATGGTGTTACTTTGATCATTCCCAACTCCGAAGCGACATTGAAAGGTGTCCCCGATGAAGCTATTGTCAATGTATTCGGTCCTGAGATACATGACGCAATTGCCGAAAGCCCAATACGCAGGAAGGAACTGGCGGAAGGAATGCATGTAGCAGAGTGTGTGTCAATGATACTCACAAGGAATGGGGCCATTATCAACTTGGCTCTCGGTTTAGAAGGCGGTGTTAAAATACAAAACAAACTATATACCTAGAATGCAAACAGGACTCTCAACTGCCTTTCTACGCTTCTTTGACTTTTCCATCAGTGACGTACAACTTAGTACCGGATTCAACCTGTCCCTGCCCATCAGGCATACCAACAAGCTTCCTGAACCGTTCCTCCCCTGCACTATCTTTCTCAAGGACGGTAACATTGCACCCCTTCCAGTATACCATCTGCCCTCTGCCGATAATCATTGTAACACCGTTCGCCTCGACATTCTCGAAGTCTATCGTCGAATCGAGGGCTTCCTCTACGAAGGCCTAATGAGCTATTAGATGGGAAAAAAACACAAATGAAAGTACTTACCATCAAAGGGTGCCTCTGGGATGCCAATACAGTTCGAATAGAAGGGAGATGGGTTGAGTATGCGCTCGGGCGCTATACTGAAGCACAATATCCGAATCCTTGAAGCGCCGAAAAAGGGGATAAATACGGCAACCGAAGATGTTTGCTTTTTCTCGTCCAATGAAGTTGACCGGCCCGATCAGGCTAGATATTCTCTTAATTTAATGTGATCGGATAGCGATGGTAGAACGCTGCTATATGAAGAGATTGAAGTAGAAAGATACCCTTTATTGTTCGATTTTACAGGAACAGTATCCGAGACGACAAGTCATCGATAGTGCCCTCAAACACAACTCAATATATCAACCTTTTCACAGATATGATCACATGGCCCGATTAAAAAAGGATAAAAAATATAATTCGAGGTAAGGCCGTCATGAGGTGAATGACGTAGAAGGTTGAGCAGCCAGCAAATAAATGCGTTTTGTCTGGAACAACGTTGAATGATGGGGCGAGCAAACCGCTTTCTTCATCCGGCAATGCCTCCGGCGCATTAGGCACCAATGCATGGAGGAAACCAGTTCACCAACTGGCGCAAGCACGAACTCGAAAGGCTCTGTTGAATTGCTGCCCGCTCGCTCAAAAATTTTTCCACTCTTACCCCGCAGGAAGGGTGTCGGATTGGGTGTCACGGATGAATATGTTGGAGACATATGAATCTTATTTGTATCAAGATCTGCTTGTTATATTATCCGTGCACTATCTAATATATCTATTTCATACAAAAGATGGAGCTATTTATAGTAAAATATATGTGCGAGCCAAGAGAGCTAGCATAAGCGAGTATTAGACGAGCATTGTAGTAAGCTGATGATGATGAGAAATATGTAGGATAGTTGAAGGTTGTATTGATAGATCTATCTACAGGAACATAATATAGTGGTGGGTCACGTGATCTAGTGGGATTGCTAACCGCAATAGCTGTAAGGGTCAACACCCCCTCTCAAGATAACAAGAATCACATACAAAAACACTCAAATCACCAAGATAGTCTGTCAAAATCAAATACAAATGTAAAATTAAACATTCTCAACTTTTATATCTGTAAGATCTAGTAAAATCATGAATTATATAAATATTACTAGACTGGTCATCAGAATCATGAATTTCAAATTTGGTTTCATTTGATCTGATCTCATACATTTCTTGGCATGAATTCTGCTGGGACTAATCATTAAATAAACATGCAAAGTGACTATATATCAGATCTCAAAATGAAACCATGACTTGAAAAAAATAAGAAAGTAATCTCATTTGATCTCATTTAGTTCTATTCTTGACATAAAGTTACTATTTTTAGACATTTTAAGGTTTTTTTTAGACTATTTTTAATTTTTTAAAAAGTAACACTTTTTAATAACACTCAAATGAGATTTAAAGTCATTTAAAGCAATAAAAATAATTTAAATTGAGAAGTGAAAATCATGATCTCATTTGGAAAATGTGATAAGAGTAGACAGTAAGTCTCACTGAAACAGTATGAAACTACTATCTAATATTAGAACCATGTAATGAGATCTGTTGAATTGGCAATGAAACTATCAAAAATTCTAGTTCTGGTCTCAGACACGGTCACACAGTCAGTCTAAATATCACAGTATCTAGAGATTTAATAAGTTCATCTACTATTATCTGAGTAATGAGAATATATTCTAAATCAATGATTCTCTGATTTAACTGTCAATATAAAAAAAGAAAACATGTATTAATGTGTTTACTTCAGACTGTAATAACTGCTATCTTTATAAGATCTATAATACTCTTATTATCAGTAAGAATCTGTATCAGAGATGTAGTAATGAAGTCAAGCTTAATTATAAGATTTCAGATTTATATTATCTCACAAATCATCTCACTAAGAGTCATATATTCAGTCTTATTAAAACTTAGAGATATATAAGATTATTTTACTGAATATCATGAAATCAAATTATCTGTAAGCTTAAAAATATAGCTGAATATTGATTTTCTATTATTATTCAAGAGATCAGCTCAATCAGAATCTGAGTAGCTAAAGAGTAGATAGAAATCATCAGAGAAATCAGAGAGAATGAAAAGATTAGTAGAAATGAATCTCTTATACAGGTCACATTTTGTCATACTTTCAGCCGCGTCAAGACTCTGTTGCAGTTTCACACGGCTCATTGCTTTCATGCAGATGATTTCATCTCATCTGAACTGGTTTTCAATCACTCTATGACATCATTCAGATATATCATAGAAAGATTCAATTGATAAATATGAGAACTCTACTTCTATACAAGATCAGCAGATTACTTTTCCTTAGTAGTGAGATGCTGCTGAGGTATCACTTCAGCTATTCTCACTCATGAAATGAGAGAAGAGATCTGCTCATTATCTATATAGAATAGCTAGATACTGACTTCTTATAAAAGAAGTCAGTGATTCATTTTTCTTCTACTGAAATATATACAAGAGTTACTGCATATCTTATACAATCTTCTTAGTATACTAAGTATCATATCTGTGATATTCTTGCAATAACTCTGTAGTCTATGAGCTCACTATTTAAGTAAGATAGTTAAGCTCACTTATACAGCTTCTTAAATAACTATCTTTACATAATGCTGCTGACTAGTCATTACTTCAGTTCTATCATATTATAATTTAAATCACTTGATCTGATTACAAGTTTGAATCAGTTGAGCTCTAACAGACTTAGACTGACTGCTGAGATCATGAATTTCACGTTTAATCTCATTTAATCTGATTTCATACATTTCTTGGCGTGAATCCCGCTGGGACTAATCATTAAATAAACATGCAAAGTGACTATATATCAGATCTCAAAATGAAACCATGACTTGAAAAAAATGAGAAAGTGATCTCATTTGATCTCATTTAGTCCCATTCTTGGCATAAAGTTACTATTTTTAGACATTTTAAGGTTTTTTTTAGACTATTTTTAATTTTTTAAAAAGTAACACTTTTTGATAACACTCAAATGAGATTTAATGTCATTTAAAGCAATAAAAATAATTTAAATTGAGAAGTGAAAATCATGATCTCATTTGGAAAATGTGACAAGAGTAGACAGTAAGTTTCACTGAGACAGTATGAGACTACTATTTAATGTTAGAACTGTGTAATGAGATCTGTTAAATTGATAATAAGACTATCAAAAATTCTGGTCCTGATCTCTGTAATATGACGGAACCGAAGCAGTGGCTAGTCAGCAGCAACATGTAAGAGTAGTTGTTTAAGAAGCTGTATGAGTGAGCTTGACTATCTTGCTTGAATAGTGAGCTTGTAGGCTACAGAGTTATTGCAAGAATATCACAGATATGATACTTAGTATACTAAGAAGATTGTATGAGATACATAGTAACTCTTGTGTATATTTCTGTAGAAGTAAAATGAATCACTGACTTCTTTGATAAGAAGTCAGCATCTAGCTATTCTATATAGACAATGAGTGAATACTCTTCTCTCATTTCATAAGTGAGAATAACTGAAGTGATACCTCAGCAGCATCTCATTACTAAGAAAGAGTAATCTGCTGACCTTATATAGAAGCAGAGTTCTTATATTCATCAATCAGATCTTTCTATGATATATCTGAATAATGTTATAGAGTGATTGAAAACCAGTTTAAATGAGATGAAATCATTCACATGAAAGTGATGAGCTGTGTGAAACTGTAACAGAGTCTTGACATAGCTGAGAGTATGACAATGCTCTCTTCTTTAAGAGTATAGTCTCTATGCTCTCAAGATTACTGAATTAGAAATTATCTTTGTTGTATAGTAATGATTATCAACTGATTTGACAGTGCATGTGCTGTGCATGATATAATAAAATAGATGAGTTTTTCTGCTAACTGCATAGATCTTTCTTTTCTCATCATTATTCAAATCAAACACATGATAAGTGAGTTCCTTATATATCAATTTGAAATGTGAGAAATGTAGTTAATAAGTGACTTACAGATCTTTCAATATATTTCATTCTATATATGAAATTCTCTGCAAAAGTGATGTATTTTAGAGACAAAGCTAACAGTAGTGACAGGATTTTTTGAAAAGATTCTCTCTCTTATGAAACATTTTTCTTTTCTCTCTCTCAATCATAACAGTAAGTGCATGAGAGTATCATTCTTGAAGAACAATCAAGAACTTATTCTGACATTTTCTAGTGAATAATAAACATCTTCATAGTGCAGCAGCGGCCTTCATGACTGTTAAGAAAGCCAGATTGAAGGCAGAGACAGTGGCATCAATGAGCTGTGAAAGCATCACTCTCATTATCACATCTTCTTCTTCTCCTGCTTCTTTTACAGCTGTGATGATAGTCACTGTGCCTTGCAGTGAGATGTCATCTCTTCTGCTGATCAGTTCATCTGTGTTCAGTCTGTTTCTCACTTCTTTCATCACTGTTGCAACGCTGCCCCCCTTCCCAGTCAATACAGTGATGTATGACCCCATGTGATCATTCAGAGAGGAACTCAGAAAGAGCTTGATTTCAGAGACAGTGACTCTGAGAAGCTTAATCTGTAGTTCCTCTCCTGTGGCACATCTGAGCCCTGCTCAGAATGCTGCTGAGTTGAGTCTGCAGAGTTCTGTGATTCCTTCATCTTCTCTCTGTGAGAAGGCTTCAGTGTGGCCTCTGGCCAGCACTGCTACTTGTCTGCACTACATCAAGCAGCTGAAGAAGAGAGGAATTCTATACACTTATCTCTTCTCTCACTTCTGTTATTTTCATTGTATCTGTAACAATGACTTCTATCTCTCTGTAAGTATTATCTACTCTATAAGAAGATGTCATATCAGCTCTGATAAGAAGTTCAGATACTCAAGCAGTACAGAGTGAGAGTCTCAGAGCTTTAAGCATTGACAGATTTCATTAAGACTGAAGAGATTCTTCTTGCTCATCTGTAAAAGAAGATGAAAGCATGAATCTCTGAGATAAAAAAACATCTCAGAATAACTGATCTCAAGAAGAAGTCAGCTAATGCTGTCACTAAAAGTATCACAGAGATCAATTACTGATTGAAGAGAATCTCACTTTAATTGAAGCAGATGACTGAGATGTTTTATAAGTTAATAAGTTAATATTTCATGCATTTCTCATGCTCTTCTATAGCATGCTTCTCTACAGTGCTGCAGCACTAACTTCTCAGCAGATAAAGATGTCAGTACTGAAGACTTTAATAGTGAAGAATGAGTTTGATGAGAATGTAATTATTGATAAGTAGACTCTAATCTCTCTTTTTACTTTTTCAGTGAGCTGCAGTCTCATTAGAATAGCAGTGATCTGTGAATCAATAATATTAATCTTTTTGTTAATTTTAAATATTTCTTTTCTTTTAACTGCTTCAGAAATGTTACACTTGTGTAGTCTCATTAAACTTCTAAAAACTCTTTGAGAGAAAATAGAAGAAGAGTGCTACAGAGTCTATAAGACACTGGCTCATCACTGTGAGATTATCTCTAAAAAACTCTTTGAAAAAAATGAGAAGTCTTAAGTAATATTTCTTATTCAATGTCTCTGACATGTAACAGAGTGATCTCTACTAGCTATCTCATAGATTGCAATCTCTTTCTTAGCATTTTTCAAATGCTCAAGCAGTTCTCATAAATTCTCTGACAATGAATAATCTTCTTATTTAACAAGATATTGAAGCTTACTGTAATGTGTTCACTTGTTCAATATTTTCTTCACAAGATATTTGATATCACTCTCAATCTTAATATCATTCAGCCAAGACAGCTCTACTCTGAGATATTGCTTATAGAGCTTCAAATAGAAAATGTGAAAAACAGAATGAATTGATTTCAATTCTGTGAGTAATTTCAACTCATATATCTGCTTATCTATTACTCTTGTTACTGAAAAAGGTTCTAGTCATCACTCACTGAGCTTCTTACACAGTCTCATTGTCTTGATATTCTTTACTGAAAGTAGCACTTGATTCTCTATCAAGAACTTCATTGAAAGATATTTTTAATTGTAGTATTTCATCTACTGCTTCTGAGTATGACAGATGCTTTTCACTGTCTTCTCATGAATTTTGTTTAAAAGTTCTAATCTCACTTTTACTTCTGATACTGAGAGATACTCTGTTCTCTGTATCTATCTGATATTCTGACTGTCTATCTCTCTCTTTGAAACATTGTCCATGATGTCACTGAATAACAAAGGATTATATTCATAACAAGTATAGAAAGAAGATACTCTTAAGGTTGCATTCTTTGCATTGTTATATGTGAATTCAGTGATCAGAAGGTATTTGAGCCAATCATTCTGATGATATGAACAGAACACTTGAAGATGCTGTTCTAGTGTCTGATTCTGATGTTCAGTCTGGCCATCGGTCTGCGGATGGAAAGCAGTACTGAGGAGATGTCTTATTGTAAGATAATAGCAAAAAGCCGACCAGTACTTGCTGATGAAGAGGAATCCTCAATCTGTTACCAACGATTTCAGAGCACTGTGATCACGAATGATGGTATCATATTGCTTGTGCCGCGGGACCTTTATTCTTTGGCAGACATTGCAAGTCTCAACATACTCTTTGACATCTGCCCGGAGCTTGTCTCAAGTGTATTTACATTTTAGAAGCTTCTCAGTCTTCTCTAACCCAAAGTGCCCCGCATGGGGATCATTATGATGAATTCTCAATAACTTCTGACACACTGCCCTGCTACAAGAGACAAAGACTGAATCATTCAGCAGTAGAAGTTCACATTCTTCTAGTTATCAGTGACTTAATTTCTTAGCAGCACTGCCCTGCTCAGGGCCTGTCTCTTTCAAGTTTAAATCAGACTCTTTCTTCTTCAACTTCTGAATTCAAGCTGCAGTAGAGATGTCCTTCTTCTGTAACTCATCAATGAATTTCAAAAGTAGTCAGATTGAAAGATTGTAGATCATTTCATTCTTTATCAATTCAATAATTGTAAGATGTGATATGAGAAGCTCATGATCTTCAGTATCAGTTCTCTGCAGAGACTCAGATTCTCTTTCACCTTCTATACTGAGTTGCACAGCTGCCTCTTCAGCGCTGTTCCTAAGCTTTAGAGAATCTCAACTCTCTGCAGCCAGCTTCTTCTGCAGTGATGACAGAGATTCTTTTATAGAATTCTTCTCTGCATCAATGATATTATAATCAGGCTGTCTAGACAGTGTGTCAGCAGAGTTAAGCTGATCTGAACAGTATCAGATATAGAAATTATACTCTGAAAGCAGCTCTGCTCATCTGGCTTGATGTTCTGTTAAGCTCTTTATTGTCAAGAAGTAATGCAGATTTGCATAATCAGTGAGAACTTACACTGAGTACTTACTACTCTGAAGATAATATCATCAGATCTTAAAGAATTCAACAATTGCTAACATCTTCTGATCATAGATATCATATCTTCTCTGTATGAGTGATAACTTCTTGAAGAAGAAGATCACTGATCTTCATTTATAATATCTTATAGACTCTGTGAAAAAGTCTTCTTTCACAGACAATTCATTGTCTGTTTTCTCAGAAGTGATTATTCTCTGATTCTTTCAACATTGAAAGGTCTTTAGTGTCAACTGTGAAAAGATTTCACAGATTTCATTCTCAGATACATCAGTCTTACACTGACTGAGTAAGTCAGAATTAAAATGATTTAGCATTGTGATATCTATGAAAGCTTGTTTCAATTCTGCAAACACCTGCACAGTATCTTGAGTGAGAGTAAACAGTCTCATTTTTCTGTCTTTCACACTTCTCTTCAACAGATCTGTAAGAGAGACAGTAATCTGTGAATATACATAGATGAATTGTCTGTAGAAATTCACAAATTCTAGAAATATCTGTATCTCACAGTACATCTGCAGCATCAGCCAGTTCTCAATGACAGAGACTCAGCTTCTGTTCATTGAAATGCCATTCATCTCAATAATATAATCTAAGAAATCAATCTTCTGCATGTAGAATGAGCATTTTTCAGTGTTTATATAGAGTTGATACTGTCTCAAGCAACTTAACACTTCTCAAACATGAGTATCATGTTCTTTCTCTGATTTTAAGAAGATTAAAATATCATTCAGATATACTATGCAGGAGACATTGACAAGGCCCTGCAGTGTCTTATTTATATAGATCTGAAAGATGGCTGAAGCATTACAAAGATTAAAAGATAAAACAAGATATTTAAAATTGCTGTATTTGATACAAAAAGCTATTTTTCAAATGTTGTCTTTATTAACTCTGATTCTATGATAGATATCTTATATATCAATCTTTGAGAATATCTTTGCTTCAGATAATCAATCAATCATCTTATCAATTAATGATAATAAATAGTGATTCTTAACTGTCATCTTATTAAGGCCTCTGTAGTCTATGCATAGGCATAGTCTATCATTCTTCTTAGATATAAAGAGTATAGATGTCTCTGCTGAACTCTTTGATGAATATATTCAGTTCTTTGATTGCACTTCTTCAAGATATTTATACAGAACATTCAACTTCTTTACAGATAAGTTGTAAAGAGATCTGTACAGTGTCATTACATCATCTTCAAGATGAATCTTGTATTGTATCTTGATATCAGGAAACTTTGCTGCTTTTCTTTCTGAAAAGACATTCTTAAAATCTGTAAAGAGATGTTGTGTACATCTGTCTTCAATGATGAATACTGCTGCTAATCTTGTAGCAAGAGTGATGACTTCTTCATCTATCTTCAAGTTTCAATCATCTGCTATGCAGTATATTAACTCAATTCTTTTCTCAAGATTCTTCTGATGAAACTCTTCAGATTTCTCTATCACTGTCTCTTCATCAGTGAGACAGTATTACTATATCTGAGTAACTCAGTTAATGAGAGAATTGTTTTCTCTCAATCACAGAAGATCTAGAATGATGTTCTCATCTATAATATTGACTGTATGAAGAAGCAGACTGCTCTTCTTGAAGATTTCTTCTGAGTCTGTGATCACACACTTTGCTTGAATTATGTCAAAATAATGATATTTCATTTCATCTGTAAATTTCATATGATCTGATGAATCTATCTTCTTTCAACTCTTCATCAAAGAAAAGAAATAGAATATGAAGTTAATATTCACTCTGAAGTCAAGTAGGTATCTCACTGATATCTTCTCATTCAGAGTATGCATTATGATTGTAATATGAACTTGAAGATATGAGAATTATCAATTCTTTTCTTTCTCTTCTTTATCTTCTATGAATACATTTGTCAGAAGAGAAGTTGACTTTAAGAAGATGTCTTCTCAGTTTCTTCTCTTCTTCAGCTTCTTACAATCACTGACATAGTGATCATCAGCTCTGCAGTTGAAACAGAGATCTTTGTCAAATCTTTTTTAATATTTCTTCATAGTGAGTGAAGAATCAGAATACTTGAAATTCTTCTTTACTTTCTCTGCACTGAAGCTGTCACAGTACTGTTTAGATCCTGTCATTGATTACTTAGAAGAGATCTTATTAGCC